TACTTTATGCTAAGTCTGGGCGGCAGCCATTTCGGTTTGTTCCTGCTTTTGATTGCTTGACCTGTGTTGACTGAAATTGTGCATTTTGGTTGTGAATTGTTGTAGAGCGACCAATTATTACCTTTTGAACGAATCTGTACGTGATCTATCCAGACAGGATAGAACAACATTTATTTGTGGTGATTGGTAATTTTCTTGCATCCTTTATCAACTTTCTTATTTATTGTAATTTAGATTTGATCAATTGAACAATTATTGGTTGGATAGCTGAGGGGTTATATTTGTTTAGGTAATAATGTACACTTAAATTTATGATAAATTATAGAACCGTCATCTTACCCAATTACTTTGTTTTGGATTCAAACGGGCGACGGCGTGTATCTAACTCATCCAGACAGCTGTCCATCAGTCCAAACCGTAGTTTGGATTTTACACTTGTGAATACATATATTTTGTATATAAGGCAAATGGAATTGAGAGAAGAGAAACGGCGCACAATGGAGGTGGCTGGCTGGTATAGCCAACTCCCATTTAACCAAGCGTTAACCAATATTTATAGGCACACAAAAATAAGTTATAGACATGTGGTGAGTAATGGGATAAGAAATGTACACACACCTACGCGCTCATATAAAGATAGTCAGGATTGATAAGCGAATAAATAACAAGGTCAGAATGTGACTCAAGTCCGAAACATAGAATAAGGTATATGGGCTTAACATAATAATTGACGCTACAAGACCTTAGATATAACTAATGTTTTTGTTTGTGGGTCCCCTTAAACATATAGTGCTTACAGCTTGATGAAATTGTTTGTAGGAACTTGCATATTCTGCCTATAAGTCTTGGAAAATCAGTAGAATAACCATCTCACCTCATAAGCCCTAGACACCCTGAGACTATCTTTCCTGATATGCAACACAGGTGGTGTGGTTGTTATGTACGTATTCACCCCCTACTAATGAAATCTAATTTCTCAGGATAAGTAGTCAAGCATGAAAGATACTCGTGGTTGCCATCGTGTAAGCGTACTTCCACAATCAGTTGTTTGATTGTGCTATCGTAATAGCCTTAGAGATCAATTTTCAGTATTCAATATTTTTTACTTCTAACTTCTTAATCTCTTGTTCGATAGATATTGCAAACAGAAAGATGACCTATACCATACGAGAAAATTGAACTTGCTAGAAAGGGAACAAACGAGCAAGCTGTAACCGGGACATATTATTTAGCTCATGATCTATGTTTCGTGTTTTTGAAATCCCATTGGTTAGCCAGCCATGAGTTCATTCGTGGTTGACGAATGATGTGCTGCGACGCAAAGAATATAACACTAAGAGCTAAACTTTATAAATTTTTCTTTGTCTCGTTGTGATGTCCAATTTTTCCACGTTTCGTTGTTGTTTTATTCAATTAATTTTGATTTCCCTGGAGATTTTTTTATGACGAGAATTGATTTCACTAACATTCACTTTCGGGAAGACTAATATATAGATGTAATATTCTTGGAGCACATTGGATTGGACGCTTAACACCGTTTTGCCGACGGGTTTCAAGTTCAGCTAGTGCTCTCTTCCTTTTTATTCTATCCTCAAGAGACATATCAGGTCTAACTTGGATGATGGAACTGTCGTGACAACGAGCACTACCTAACAGAAGATCCCGTTGTTTCTCCGATCTTAGGATTACCTTAAGAAGTCTGCAAGGTCGTGGTTCAACAATGTCCTCAGTCCTCTTGCCTATTCTTACCAGTTTTTTTCTTTAACCCCTTTAGAGTTATCTGGTAAGATACTACTAATATATTCTCCCAGCTTCTCCAAATAATACGTGTGTCTAATTTTTGGATCAGGATCGTTTGACCCCAGCAGTTTGATCACAATAATATTCGACGATATTAGATTCTTCTTCTCAGTCACGCTAGGGTGGGTTTCTCTCTTACTATCAGATTTTGGTAGTGCATTTTGTGACTCACAATGGGAGTCCACCAGTGACTTCCTAACCACCTGCGTACTGCCTACAGCTTCTTTCTTTTCGTTTCGCTTACTCCGTACTGTAGTCCATTTTTCATCCCTCAGGACACTGGGACTATTTTGAGCGGTGACAGTTTTATCCAGATCTTCAGTTTCCAATAGGGGTGCATGGTAACCAATGTCAGCGTTAGGCGGTACTACCGCCCCCCTTGTTTATGATAATGGAGATTTCATTTTCCGTCGGTCAAAGTCGGTTGTTTAAGGCGTCTCGTAACAGCACGTACTACACTGACACATTTGTCATTGCCAGTGCTCGTGTTATCAGCGCATGCGCTATCGTTCTTTTTACAGGCCAAAGCCAATAGGCACATAGCCTCCTGTATTACTAACGTCTTATTTGAGCAGCAAAACATGCAGAGCCAATGTGAGTTAGGCTTCGAACATCTTTTTTATGCATTGATACTTCAACGGGTGCATATCTTATAAAACCCCTTTTTGAATTCGTCACATTGTATTGCTTCCTCCACAAGGAACAAACAGTTTGTATGTCCACATTTGTGAGTACTACCAACCATTCTTGTCAGATTAAGGTGTAAAACATAATATGAACACAGTGTCAGTCAACGAGCAAAAGGGTACCACAAGACAAACTTCAGCAAGATTTCAAACCTTAACTAAAGTACTTTGATTTGGACCAAGAATGCTTTTGATGCAATAATTACACAAAAGCAAGAATAATCACAACAATCACAGAATCACTGCACTTTTTGGAACACCGACGACAAACTAATTTGGAAATAGAAACGATGCTGTAATCGAATACTTTAACTGAAATAAATTCAATTAAAGTGAAAACAGTAGACTTGATACGTAGCAAACGATCAAAACAATATAATTTACTCAGTGAGGAAAAATACAATCGTCCTTTTAATTAGCACGCAATGTCGAAACATTATCGACACAATGTCCGCAATATATCGCACTGAATTTCGCATATATGCGTCCAAGCAACCATCATGCTCATAGCAGAACGAATTTTCTGAACTAGTATGGATGAACACGTGAGGGAATAGGCATGCCCCTGTGTAGGTTGCGAAAAATTTAAGGTGACTAGGCACAATAATCTTCCCTTTAACGCTTCGCAACACCTGATGCTTGTTACGACCATGTTAACCTTAATTTTTTAAGACCATTACCGGACTCAAATTAATACCCATATCTCTTAAGGTGTGCAGACCATTTCACACGATAGCCAAAATTAGTATCCACCAAAGACGTTACTGCTAAAACTGTGGCCAACGCCTTCGTCGAATAATGAGTGGTCGCTCTTCGACTATTACCACAGACAGCGGATTTTAGTTCGAATCTGAAATATTCGATCGTCTTACTACACTATTGCGGGTCACACAATTCCGAACGACCACACACCACTCACAAGCTAACGAGCTGTCAGAACGATGTCACCTAGAGCTGAAAGCTTCACTCTCATATGCTAACAATTGAAAGTCGACTGACGCTCGTCAACTATTGTTACCCGGTGTTCGCAATGCGATGAAAGCTGACGTTGAATGCACTGCAGCACGACTTGTTCACGGAACAAAACTTTACTTCTGACTTCTGATTTCCTTGGGTTGGCATATTTCGATCATAACGGTGTTACATGTAAAAGCGTTTTCATACTCCGAATACCTGTGGCACATATAGATTGATTTTATTAAACCCATCTAAAAAATCCCGAAAATCGATGCTCATAAATATACAGACAGCATATTTTGTAACTAGTTCAGGCTTTCGAAAATACAGTTCATCTCGTGATTTTAGAGGAGTCTAGGTTAATTTTCCTCTGTAGTCATTGTTAAAAAACTAAAAGTAGCTTTTAAGCATTTCTGATCTTGACAACTATCTGCGCCATTAAATTTATACGAAAGACTGTTTACGTAATGAGCATTAGGATATTGTCAATCTGAACTGTTAAGTCAATTCAATGAATGTAACAAACATTAACTTTTTAAGCGGCTTTTTCACATTTTCTGCCTAAACTCGCGTATCACCGTGATATTGTAAGCAGTGTAACTCTAAGTCAGAATAACAACCGAACTTTGTTACTGTTTGATATAAACCATTCATCTTTGTGAATTTACTCTTATATTTTTCTTTTGACAAACCATTATATACTGTAGAATATGTAATACACGTGGATTACATCATTTTTATACCAAAAACAATTACCATGTCAATGAGAAATTTCCTGAAGCTATTATGCTCGATGCTAAGAGAAAAAGCAGTAAAATTTATCATATTTCACTAACAAAAGGAACTATTCATTTTTGGATTTATGACCAATACCATCTAAATTTGTATGATACACAAGTATCACACAAATTGTAGGTAATGGTTCCTCTAACAGATTATAAAATTGTTTCATTGAGTTTCAGCTAGACTAACGTCGATGTAATAATCTGCTGTATTCAGTATTTTATGAATATTCAAGTGATATATATGTATCCATATGGATAAGTCGATTTCATCACTAATTCCATTGGAGTTTTTCAAAAGACAGCATATATTCCCTGGTTTTGTACATGTACAAGTACCGTAGCGGTGCACAGTACAATTCTGTGATTATGTTAGTTAATTATTATGTGTTTTAGCTAGTATTCTTCATTAAACTTATCGATTTCAGAATAAAGTTTTAAATATCTATTCGGTTTGAAGGTTATTCAGTTGCAAAAGAACCTTCAAGCGCCGTTAGTTAGATTTGTATTCTCAGTAAACACGTTTCGCAGATAGCTGGCATATGTTTAGTGTAAACGGAAAGAGTGAGTTTCTACTTTTATTTTGTTAATCGATTCATTATCCAACTAATATGAGTGAATTTTTCGTTTCAGTTTTAGATCTAAGCTATGATATGGTTCATATACCAGTGAAAATAAATTTTAAGAACTGAAGGCTTTCTGTTATAAACATTCTTCGCTAATATCCATATACTGCTGTTATCTATCTGGAATGCTAAGCAAAGTTATATACTAAATGAATAAAGCTGATCCATTGTGTGTCCAGTTGTTAAAAAGTTTAATTCTATGCAGCGAAAAAGCTGCCGTAATAGCCCGTACAATTAAAAGACAAACTGGTATCTTTCAAACACTTGTTCAAGTGAAAGATTCAACTGAGGCTAATTTAAGATTCAGCGTAGATGTCAAAACTTTGGCCGATGTATTAATTCAAGAAGTTGTAAAGTACGACCTAAATTTACTTGTAAGTTATTCTCACTGATAACTCTGTATTTGATTTTGTTCCCCCTTGATACATTTTCAAACCAAAGATCAAGCAGTGAATAGCCGGACAGCCTTTTATGAGCTAGAGATCTCAAAATTAACTAACTATTCAAAGATATACAGGGATGACTTTTCCTATAAGAATAGTGTGAATTTATTCCGATAATTAGAAGCATTTGGAAATCATATGCTAACTAAAAATACCCGAAATAGTGCAATCTAAGGCAGATAGGACCAGATGAACACAAACTAACGTATTATTTTTGTGATTCGTAATAAGCACGTAATCAAGTACAAAGGAATCATCATTTAGTACAAATATCGCACTTAAATAATAGTTGTTGTAAAACTTGTACACTCTCCTTCAACAACACTTGCTGTGATCTTCTAAAAGTCCACACGTTCGAAATGGTTTTTGCACAGCTGAGTTTTTGTAAACGGAACAAGCACCTATTATCCTTTTTGTATCTTTGACATTAAAGCACTTTCTTCAGGTTATTGTAAAATAAATGAATTCATCATTACCCACGATGTATTCAGCGTTCAGTTTCGTTCCTGGTCATCCGATATCTAGCTATTATTCAAGAAAGTTGAGCAGTTACTTTATGAATGTTACTTTGATATTACTATGATAAAACTTCCCTTATTTCATGATTAAATCTGTCTAAACCAGTTTGATTCGATTATGTGTCGATTATATAATATCTAAGTTACTTACGCTTTTACGTTTGGGAAATCTATCCTCTTTCATGAAAAACTTCATAGTTAATCTATTGCACAATAATGTGGCATTGCTTACTCGGTGACATAATCAGTGTAAACGTATATTTTATTACGGTTCTCACATTTATCTTTCCACCTCTTACCTATGCCTCAGCTTGGCAGCGGAAACGCAAAGAGTATATCACAGGAGAAACTATAGAAGCGCTTGGTCGATCATGAAGGTGATGTCCAATCCATTGTAGCTTCAAATAGTGTTTGAGAAATTGTAAAAACACTGATGACATTCACCTATGGCTTAAACCAAAACACTAAGCAATACCAATGGATTTGGGTGGCATCTGCCAAGTCGATAAGTGCTCCTAAACTCATCCTGCCAAACTTTAAATTCTCTGCAAAGTAAAGACAGCCGAAAATTTAAACGAACTAAAGTTTGATCAGTAATCATGAGCAGCGATAGGAAACAAAGTCGGGAAAAATTGGAGATTGGTGGCTGCAGTTTATTCAAGATGAAATTCAGATGTAACAAAGAGCTAATTGGAAGTTGAATGTTCAAGGAACAGTCTAAGCACGCAAGCCTATATAACCAAACCATACAAAACAACAGATATTACTCAGTAGCTAAGTTGAAGATTAAAGAAAGTATAAAATATGGTCTTTTCAGTGCTATGTGACTTTCCAAACTAAATTGAATGGAGCAAGAATCAAGCCTTAAGCTTGATTATTTAACGCCGAGCTCTTTGACCGTTATACTAGTGCTCCTGCATTAACTAAAACTGACAAAAAATATCGTCGCTTATCTTTCTTTTATCTACATAAGCAAAGTTTAGTTATATTACACAATTTTTATGTTTATTAGACGTTGTAACGTTATATATTGATCTTACCCAAAATTTTTGATAGAACTTTTTAGTACTATCAAAGCATTAACTTTAAAACTTTCAGTTTCCTGGATTCAATAATTCGGTGTTTGGTGAAGAAAATAATCGTTTTTCTGGTAGTTCCGGTAAAACAGTGACAATTCAACTATCTTCTAGAGAAAATCTCGCTGATCTTTTAGGTAAGAGTGTGGCTTTCTTTTTATTGCATTTTCATGAAGGTTTTGAAATGAGAAAGCATTTTTTCGTGTATTCATTATAGTTAATGATGAGCACGCAAACAAAACAGATGCTACGCATCAATAAATTTTTGATGATAGCTTTTTAACCACTGACATGCCCTCATTTTAGTAATCACTGAGGTAGCTGAACAGCGAAATTCTTTGGCAAGTCAAACGCTATTTGGATTATGCTATAAAACAAACCGAAGTGCATTAGCAGAATAACTATCGTTTACATCTAACTCAGCTGTTCACGAACAAAGTAGTAATTTGCTAGTTTTGTGCAGTTTAGACCAATTCTCACCGTGTATACTTTTATATAAAAGCCTTTAATGGTAGACATTATTTGATATTAGATTCTTATTTTCTTGTCTGACTTCTGAGCTCACATTTTATCTTTAGAATTTCAAGTTTGTACGAGCTATTTAATTTCTGGCCAGTTTATACCCTAGTTTCACTTCGGCTTGAGACGATTTAGAACAAAAGGAAAAACGATGACTACTTCATCTTAGAATAGTTCTTCGCAGAGGTACTTACCGGTTACTCCTCTAAAGATAGAATACTTGACTTTCAGACTTGCAATTTTTCTATATTATATGTTCATTGGAAATCTGTTTTGCATAATCCTTGAATTTAACTCCCTACTAGATGCATCACTTTAAAAATCGTAATTGCATAAACATGCTAGTAACTATTAACGGCTATTTACACCATTATATAACATTTCTTACTAAAATTTATGACTGTATAATCGGATTCATTTCTTATCTTTAACTTTTCAGTTGATGTTTTAGGCAACGATTTAGATTTTGCAAATCAATTAAGTGAAATTTGTTTTCGACCGCTAGAATCGTTTCAGACACAATTTTCAGTGTGTAATATTTGGGAAGATTTGATCTCCAATTGTAATTCACTATTTAAAATAACCGATATAAAATATTCTGATATTGGAACATTTGGTGTATGGATCGATCCAATAGGTATGTGTGATTGCATTCACTTTGCTGTTTTTACAAATTTTTCATGGAAAATCCACTTTTAGCAAGGGTTTACGAACATAAATGCTGGTGTGTATGTACATTCTGCCAAGCTCCAAATAAGGCGAGGTGTGTGTCTTGAATCCAACAGCCACCCAAATACCAAAAACTCTAAATAGTTCAGTTTTGTTTATGTTTATTTCTCCGGGATTTTTAAATTGCACATTTTACAAGGCTAATTTGTTTAATAAACAGATTTATGCTACTAACTTGAAAAGGACTTAATAATGGTTCGATCAGTAGAAGAATATAACGGTTTATTTCACTTTATCATGTTTTTTTCTCATCATCTGTTTACAATCCATAATATGCAGACATCAAAAGTTATCAATTGGCCTTGTTTGATGTTAATACCTACACTTATTATCATGATCTATAAAAATTTGAAATAAATAAAGAATTAGAGTGACTCAAGTAGCACTAAGGTAGCGTTTCAGAGTATCAAGCCGAATACACGGACTCAAATCCCGCATAGAGCATCAGCTGTCCAGCAACGCCGAGTATACCTTGTTGACGAATGTCAGCTAGTACAAAACCTAGGTTATACATGGTTTGTTATCACTTACTTTGAACCATCTAACATCATCTGAACTAAAATAAACTAAATATCGACTACTTACGTAATCAGTTACTGTAACTGCCAGTAACTATAACCTCATCTTCTTTATTTTGTATGACTAGTGATTTTCTTCTTCAATATACGTCAACCTTCACTGTACTCTTAGGTCTTTGTCTTTTGGTTGTTATTGTTTCGAACATCTATCATTACTTCATTGGCTAAATTCCATCAGATCTTTACTGCGAATATTACTTCAGGTTATTTGCAACCAATTATTAAGATTCCATGAAACGATATGTTAAATTCATTTTATTTTACAAATCTTGATATTCTTGCTCTAATTAAGTTTATCAAAGGAAAATAATGTAGGAAAATTACCTAGATTCTTGTTGCACCATACTGAAACTTATACATATTAACTTCGAACTTACTTCATCTATCCATGTACTCTAATGTTCAATCTTTATTTTAATTTTAAAATATTATAGGTTATTAGTAACTAATGATAGATAGATCAAAATAAAATGTATCGTTATTTTAATTCACTAATCAACTTATTGTTTTTAATCTAAAGACTAATGAATCAATTGTTAATTATCATAAATCAAAAGTCTTTTTTTCCAGTTTGAAAATATTTCTCTTTTTATTAGGAACATTAAAATGGACTAGAATAAAGTTTGTGGAGGTTAAGTAGGATAAAATTTCTATCACGAATTCTTTAGTTATCAATATAATTGCTTACTTACGCCTGTTATTCCCAAAGGTGCATAGCAAGCATTCCTCAAACCACTCTGTCCTGGGCCTTCTTTTCTAGTTCCATCCGATTCTTGTTCATTTTTCTCATGTCTATTCCCATTTCTCCGCGTAATGTGTTCTTTGGTCTTCCTCTTCTCCTTCGGCCTTGAGGATTCCATGTGAGGGCTTGTCTTGTGACGCAGTTGGGTGCTTTCCTCAATGTGTGTCCTATCCACTTCCAGCGCTTCTTCCTGATTTCTTCCTCCACTGGGATCTGGTTTGTTCTCTCCTACAGTGGGTTGTTGTTGATAGTATCTGGTCAACGGATCTGAAGTACTTTGCGTAGACAACCGTTAATAAACACTTGTATCTCCTGGATGGTGGCTTTTGTAGTTCTCCAAGTTTCCACCCCATATAGTAGAACTGTTTCGACATTTGTTTTGAGACTTTTACGTTTGGTGTTGATTGACAGTTGTTTTGAGTTCCAGATGTTCTTCACTTGTAAATATGCTGCTCTTGCTTTGCCGATCCGCGCCTTCACACCTGCATCAGATCTACCAAGTTCATCAATCATGCTGCCCGGATATGTAGAGGCTCTTACATCTTCCAAATCTTCTCCGTCCAGTGTGATTCGATTGGTGCATGCTGTGTTGTATCGCAGAATATTACTTTTCCCTTTGTGTATGTTGAGACCTACTGCTGTTGAGGCTGCTGCTACACTGGTCGTCTTTCCTGGATTTGTTGTTGTGTGTGAGATAGAAGAGCCAGATCAATATTATAATTTTTTTAATGTCTTTGAAGGCTTGGCAAACGATTTGGTGGGATACACTAAACTTGAATTTAAACAAAATATATTATAAAATAGTAAGGTTTAAATAATATTTTTTAAAGATCTGAAGAGATATAACACTGTTCAGTTGCCTAAACTAATTAAAGTAAATATAATTTTTGATCACTGACTGATATTTTGAACATCCGTCGTTGTAACCATTACGTTAATGACTTATTTATTGGAACACATAAATATTGATATCAAACAGTTATGTGCCACGCAAATCATTATATTTGTGTGTGGGCTGTGATACTGCTCGGGTGCCCAAACCGAAGCAGATGGTTTTCTTATGGAGCCACACTCGAAGTCTACGACCTGAAGGTCTAATTCACATGGCAGTGGAGCAACGTCAGGAGATGCAATCCCATAGTAGCCGGTGACTAACGATTGGTTCATACGCCATTCGTTCCTTCTAGATACCGGAGCCCATGTGCACCAATGGTTTGGAATCACGGTTTTCCAACTCACCTAGGTGAACTCTCCGTGTCCACTAATCCGGTTAAAGCGCCGGACATTCGCTTTCCGTCCTCTCGATTTCGTAAACACCAGTAATGCCGTGAGTAGGACTCCCCTGGCAGTGACCGTATACGCGTGGCCATGTGAGAGCAACCTCAACTGTACCCGGGCATTTGGGGGCATTCAGTACCAATATTCATTTGTGTTGGTAAATATCTTAATCATTACTCTTAAATTGAAAAAAGCCTTACTGTTCATTTAATGAAACACAATGTTCTTAAAATATTAATAATTTCCATTGTGAAAATTAGAAAAACACATATCAATGAACAAAATTGTTTTCAGTTAGATTGTCATCAGTCTTCATTCTTATATACATGAATGTTTATATGAAAATATTCAACCAATCAAGACAATCTATGTATCAATGATCACAATAAAACAGATTGGATAACTAAAATTAACAGGTAAACAGTACAAAATGATAGAAAGAAGACAGATGTACTAGTAGTATTGATGAAAATAACAAAAATTCTGGGCAATAGTTCAATATAGGAAGTAGGTCAAGCTTCAATAAACAAACTTATAATAATAATAATAATCACAAAACATTAAAATTACATAAAAGGAAATGTGTATATAATTACATAGTGAAGAATAGAAGCGAAAAGAGGTGAAAAATGACAAACAAATACAGGATGTGAGAAAATCAATGAAATCGTTTATTAAGTCATGTCCGACCCAGGAAGCGATAGATGAGTTACGATTTTTTTCTGAACACATAATTTTGGGTTTTAGGTTCAGATCCCTATAGCTTCTGCTGTATGTAGGAGAACTCCATTGGATATTGACGAACGTATACGATAGATCACCCAAAACGGTTCACTTTTATCCACCATATAACCACTGTCAATCAGGTTTGCCAAAATAGAACTGAGTTTCTTTTTTGTGTTGCCCTTTCCAAAACAAGCTGGGAGCTTTTCAATTATTTGTTGGTTAAGTCACCTGGTGGTAGGCCTAATATAGCTGCCTCCCTAGGAGCAGCTGGATTAGTAGATACACAGTGAGGAGGCAAACTTAGGTAACTTATCCTTTTGTTGGTTAGACATCACTGGCCTACAAGGAAATGTCAACTCAAGGTTGGCTGCTTAGAATGTCATATTAGCTGCCCTCACTAATCTAGCATACAGGAATTATCTAAACACATCCCCGTTGAGTTGTATTTTTAAGAATAGATATTTCTTTCGAGTGGTCAGTATCCCCAGCTTATTTCCACCAGATGCATGTACTTTTTTAAAAATTTCCTGTGTAACCGATCTCCATCGGTGTTATTAATAAACTTCAACTCCTTTTTTACGGTATCATCTGAGATCTTTTGTCTCTACTTATTAGATATATAATCAGACTTTCTTGTAGCGGATGAAAGTGAAACTAGAATGATGTGTACTAGCAAACAAAGGAGCTCTTTCCGTACATGCTTCTACTCAACGAGCGATAAACCTATCTATTCTTACTCTACCGTTCATAAAAATTTACATTATGTATCTTATCTACTAAAACCTTAAAATGATATATGTCCAGGAATCGATTTTATTATAAACATGAAAACGGAACGAACTCAGATGTCCAGACGTTAATATATAGAGTAGAGTAGATGAAATACACCATCGACAGTTATTTATTAAAGTAATCTACGGAACAGCATTTATTTAATCTCAATAGTTGAGATCATGGGTCATTTGAAGCTAGACCATTATGGAAAGCCTGGAAGCACTGAACGGCTGTTTCGTCACATCATGGGATACCTCAGCAGTGTGCGTCTACGACCTCGCCTTAGGGGATTCGAACCCAGGACCTATCAGTCTCGCACGCGAGCGCTTAACCACTAGACCACTGAGCCGGCCGGCATCGAACGGTATTAATGTCTAACTTCAAGTAATCCACGAAATTGCGCCACCGTCTACCATTGTCTTCAGTAAGTTACTATCTCACAACTGATAGTTCTGGTAGACCCTGGATTCGAATTTCGCCAGGTGTGATCGTGGGTGCGCCCTGTTGATCAATGCCATACTAGGATGAAACGGCCGTCTAGTGCTTTCAGATTTTCCATAGTCATCTAGCTTCAATTGACTCATGATCTCAATTATTGGAATTACTACAATCTCCACAAAACCCCTTCTGATACTGTTCATTAATATCTTTTATTTCTATTTATACTTTTCTCATTTTTATTTTCTTTTTTCTTTGACCGTTTTTTTCTTTCTTTCTATAGACTCAACAGCTGATTATGCTCAAGATCAATTTGATAAATTTCATTTTATTTCAACTAATTCATCATCTACTCATTTATCTGGTATAGAATTAGATAATCTAAATCAAATTAATCATTTTTTTGATAATCCAACAAGTTTAATACGTTTCTATCATGGTAGTCTTATTAATGTTACAATTTTATTAGGTTTATTTGATTATTCAAATGGTTTACCATTAATTGGTGTTATAAATCAACCATTCTATTTAAATAATATAATCAATTCACTTAATAATGATAATCATTTATCAACTGATGAAATAAAGTAAGATTTATAATAATAATAATAATAATAATAATAATAATAATAATAATCATTATTATTATTATTATTTGATTTATTATTTATGATTAATTAATTGATTATTGAATTATTAAAGATTCCTATTGTGAAAATTAGAACAATATATGTAAGCGAACAATTGTTTATTATTAGATCGTCATCAGGCTTTCCTTTAAAATATACGAAAATGTTAAACCAATAATCAATAATCACAAATTCAGCTGTTTCTGTGGAGATAGCTATATAGGGCGTACTACCAGGCAACTTAACCAACGACTGAGTGAACATCTACTAGCTTGGTTTATAAAAGGTCAGTTCTATCTTGGCACATCTTATTGATAACGATCATATTTACTTACTTACTTACGCCTGTTACTTCAAATGGAGCATAGAAAGCCGACCAGCATTCCTCAAACCACACTCTGTTCTGGGCCTTCTTTTCGAATTCCATCCAGTTTTTGTTCATTCTTCTCATATCTATCTCCATTTCTCGACGTGATGCGTTCTTTAGTCTTCCTCTTCTCCTTTAGTTTTGAGGATTCCAAGTGAAGGCTTGACTTGTGACGCAGTTAGGTGCTTTCTTCAATGTACGTCCTATCCACTTCCAGCACTTCTTCCTGATTTCTTCCTCCACTGGAATCCGGTTTGTTCTCTCCTACAGTGGGTTGTTGTTGATAGTGTCTGGTCAACGGATCTGAAGTATTTTGCGTAGACAACGTAGATAACGATCATACTGTAGATAAATCGGAAACATTTCGAGTGATCTATCGTATACCTCCATCATTTCCCAACGGAGTTTGTTCCTGTCTCCTGCATATAGCTGAAGCCATAGGAATTCGTACATATAACCCCAATTCGTAACCCCCCTATCCTTTCCATGGCCAGTTATAACTTAACTAACGATTTTTTAAATTATTATTATTTATTTATTTCATTATATTTTTGTCATCATTAACCTTATTTTCACATCCATTATTTGTCTGTAACTTTCCGCCTCTTTCCGTTCGTATTCTTCACTGTCTAATTATTTACTCACTTCTTATTACAGGATGATTTTAATGTTTTGTGATGACTATTGTAATTCTATTTACCCAAGTTTGACCTTCTATTTACCAATGTTTAACTGTTGATATGACTTTTGTTATTCTATTTTATTTTATTATTCTAACTACTATCAGTACACCTCTATTCCTACTATACACTTGTACTTTTACCTATTTTATGTGTAGTGACTTATTCTATTTCATTGTGATTATTGACCCATATTGCCTTGATTGGTTTAACATTTTCGTATAAATATTCATGTATATTAGAGGAAAACCTGATGACAATCTAATTGAAAACAATATTGTTCGGTTATATGTGTTGTTCTAATGAATTATTGGTTACAATCATTGATTTTAAGCTAATTGAATATAGATTAGATCAGCATCCGGTAACCATCAGTAATCTTATATGATTAAGTTCCTTAATATAGACAAATGATCTTATTATGATTTAGTAGATGTTTAATAAAACTTTACCAGTTCATAATTCTAATCCTAAGCATTGAGTATTGCGTAAAAATGGTACATTGATTATAGTTGGAATCTAACATTTTTATCAACTGAGATGATGTTATTGCATACTAGGTAAGATATTTTCAATTAATTAAGAATATGTTTGAAACAGAATAAAAGCGGACATTCTTTAACTTGCTAATGATCTATTAAGTTACTAACAATCTATCTATATCAACTAGACTATCTGATTATGATGTTTGTGGAGTTTAATACATTATTCCTTTTAGTACATCTCTTGTATAATATTTAAAATAAACTGAGCCACAAGTGATATAATCTTGAAAAGAGCAAGAATAAAAACAAAGATTCTAGCAGAATAGCATGAATTCATTTTGATTTTGTCTGGTTCTCATCAGCTGCTTACAACCTGTGATATTTAAGAATCATAATTACATAATGGATTTAAATGACTTAAGTAAAAGGGTTTGGTTGGAAGTTATATTGAAGACATATTCGTATAGTATAACAAGGGTATAAATAAATTGAATAGACTGAATATTGTAAATATATATATCTTATGTAAAAGAGCATTCTTCAACATTGATTGTGACAACAGTTCAAACGGCTAGAAACAAGTGATTACGTAAGGAATAAACATTGATAGGAATATAATGAGTAGAGCTCAGCTGATAAAATAAGATTAATTTGGAAGATAGTTAAAATAAAACTCAATGATGTTGAAATAAATGCAGGGAAGAGTTTAAAGAAAAAGAAAAAGATTTTCTTTTTCAGATACAGCAAAGGAATATTTGTCACCAAGGTAAGGAAAGATTAATAACTATCTCCTTTTAAACATATAAGTCAATTTGGTAACGGCTTCAGCCAACTTCAGAAGACTAGAGTTTGTCTGCTTACTAATCACCTTAAAGAATTGCAAGATATCTACCAGATGTCCTGCATCAAGATGATGTTTGGTGATTGTACTGTTTAGAGTCTTTCTACCTCTTGTTCTGGGACTTTTTGGAACATCTTCAAAAAATCTAAGATATTACCCTCCTTTCTGTTAGGCCAATGTAGCTGCTTTGACAGTTACACCAGAATCAGATTTATTTCATTCAGGATCTATTTTATTTTACTGGATACATTTTTCATTCATGTCTGATGAAATTATTTTTTTATTATTGTTGAATTTACGATGATTTCGAAGATTTATACCTTAATGAGGATAAGTTTGATAAATCACTACATCAATAAACATCATTGTGAGATATATCATTTTTTGTAACAGGTTGTATATCAATAATGTATGTTACATAGCAATTAACAAGAGGAATACAACATACAGATTTCATTCTATTCAACATTGTTGATATTTAGAACTAAATTTTGATCGGCTATAGTTACTATATGTGTATTCTGTGCGGATCATCCTGATATGTGTTAAGTTGAACAGATGGATTATGGTTAGCAGTGGAATCTAGGAAGCTCCTTTTATCCTGTTCGAAATACGTCAGTTGGATTTGTTTGCACTTCAGTATTGATGTTTAGGATGCACTTGTATCAATAACGTCTGAATAAATAAGGTCTTTCATATCAACTACGAAAAAATGTTAACCCTTTCAGATAGAATTAGATAACTTTTCCCAAATTGTGTCAAATATACATCAATGAATTTTAACTTTACCAGTATATTATCTTTATCGAGAGCCAGTATTCAATCATGTATGGTAACTGAATATCTTTAATTCAAATTGAACAACTACAGTAATCCTTACACTAATTGTAGTTCATTTGTTTATTTCATCCACAGCAACTAACTAAAACATCATAGCTACTTTTTCTTCTAATGATTTCGATAATAATTCTCTTAAATAAATTTCATTTTATGATCAGATTTAAACCCAAAAACTCTAATAGTCTATTGATTATACCTGTTATAACTTGAAAAGCTGATTTCTCTTGATACAACCGCGTATAACTGAGCACTAGAACTCCAAACCCTTCCAAGTCGCAATAAGAAGACAGAAGACTAACGAAGGAATATTATTCCAAACAATGTCAAACATAGTACAAAAATTGTCAGGTATTTATAGTTTTTAGTGAGAACAAAATCATCATTACAGTCTTCCAATCCGCGTACAGGGGGTTATTAGCATTATCCAATGGGGAAGCTACACGTTGGAATTCTGGAACATTCTTCCAAAAGGTCATTGGATGGAGTAGTTACGGCTCCTTATGAGCCTCTTACAGCTTCTTCGAGTTCACCGGTGGTCCGTCGTCACAATACCGTTTTATTCACTGATGTTAAATAATGAATGAATTCGAAGGGTTCTTAATGTATGGCCTTTATTTGTTAATGATTAATACTACGTAAATAAGTGTAATGATATGTTTTCCTTTTTGTTTAATATAACTGTTATGCAAAGTTTATGAAGAATTTGTTCGTTGTAAGTAATTATTCTTACTATGATCAATATTGATTAGCATACTGTTATTTTTGAGTTGGTTAGTTCCCATGTTAACAATTAGAAATTATCTCAATTTATTAAATGATTGAAGATCAGTCAACGTTAGAATACATAAGTGATAACGTTTCAAATTTTAAAAGTAAATGATATGGGTTCGAACCTCACAGTGAGCATCATTTTCCTCAAGATTGAAAATACACTTTACTGATAAGTGGCAATTAGCATGGAAACTATGTTGTACAGAATTCTCTATCGACTACCTTCAGTCATGTAAAACAAATATATTATTATTTGTCAGTCAGTTGGTTTTTGTTATAATGATTTCTTAGAATGAACTTGATTTAAATATAATTTCCATTTTGAACTCTTTGAATTTATAAGCATAATACTTAGAACTTTCAGTTTCTTTCTGTCAACATGTTACTTTTATACCAATAAATCGAATTTCATTTAACTTACTGTGTAATGAACAACTTTATAAACTATTTAACTTAGGATCTTACTTACTTACTTACGCCTGTCCGGCGATTTAACCGGATTCCAAATCTATGGTGCACATGGGTACCAGTATCCTGCGGGAACGAATGGCGTATGAACCGATCGTCGGTCACCGGCTTCCATGGGACTGCATCTCGTTACGATGCTCCACTGCCTTGTGGATCAGACTTTTAGTAAAAGGCTCGAGTTGTTGTCCCCTAAGAAAACCACCTGCTTCGGTTTGGGCACCCGAGCAGTATCACAGCCCTCACACATCGAATGAGATTTGTTTGGCGCATATGTATTTGGTGCCTCATTGTACCGATTTTTATGTGTTAAAATAAATAAAAATGTGTTACTCCTCGTGAAGGAGCATAGGCCGCTCACCAGCAACCAACTAACTGATTGACAAATAATAATATATTTGTTTTACATGACTAGAAGTAGTCGATAAAGAATTCTGTACAACATAGTTTCCATGCTAATTACCACTTGTCAGTAAAGCGTATCTTCAATCTTGAGGAAAATGATGCTCATTGTGAGGTTCGAACTCATGTCATTTACTTTTAAAATTTGAGACGTCAACTTAGGATCATATAATAATATCAAATTAATATTCATACCATTTAACTGATCTCAATGTATATAATATTACTTAAATTCAATTAACTTTTCATCTTTTTTTTATTTTATCATTATATATTTAGTTCATTGTATAATTATGGAAGAATATTTTGGGGTTTCAATATTATTGATTCTGGAAATTCTTTACCTATTACTAAATATTCAAATAATTGTTCTAAATCAGCTTTATTGAATCCTTTGGATAATTTAAATTCACCTAAATATCTACATTTTCCAGATAATTTTTTTGATGTACTTTGTCCAGATCGTGTATTCAATGAAGAGAAACCAATTTTAAAACTTGCTTGTAGTTCTGTAGAATTTAGTCGTTTGACTAATTTATTCCATAGTAAGTTTATACTTAATATCAGTGATTAATTTTATTACAATTTTCAATAGTATTTTATTGTATACTTGAATGGAATAAGGAGCTACTACTTTCTCTATCTCAATAGTATCTTAATTAATATCAATCTTTGATGAATATTGTTATGACTTTATGTCCGGCTTTTTATCACGTGATTTATCTACTAATCAAAATATGACCTGTACAATCTTCGCAACTGTGCGAAAACCAATGACGTTCGACCGGTATGGGCAGCCTAGCGTCCTTATTGGTCCGATGTCCGCCTAGCCCGTCCACTTGAGTCCAGAACAGCAATACCAGCTCCCACTATGCGAATCGAATCGAATCATTTATTTCAGACATACTGGGTTTGTATATAAACCAAACAGACCGTAACGCACCATAAAATAGAAAACAACATTTGTACACAATAAAGCCAAAAAGTGGCTGTGAACGTGGGAGGCAGTAGTCAATAAACTGAACATAACTTAAGAACAGTAAATCGTACAATAATAAATTATAGGTCAAACAAAATAAAGCTTATAATAAGAGAAATATAAATATACATAGTCTAATTATTGAATAATTATACTATAAGAATGTATAGATAATATTAGTCAATTAATATGTGATTTAATCTTTGCTCGGATATAACAAATACAACCTACAGATTTATTTGTTGTTGATAGTGTACTTACTTACTTACTTACGCCTGTTACTCCACGTCGAGGAGCACAGGTCGCCAACCAGCACTGTCCATTCAACCCTGTCCTAAACAATACTTTCCACTTCTTTCCAGTTGTTATTCGTCCTTTTCATATCTGCTTCTATTTCCCGACGTAATGTGTTATTTAGCCTTTCGCTTTTCCGCTTCCCTTCAGGATTCCGAGTTAAGGCTTGCCTTGTGATGCATGTGGACACTTACATGTACATATAATATTTTCAATTACTTGTATATTTAGGAATCATATAATCAAGATGCCATTTATTTTAAAAAGGATGAAATAATGATAATATTTGGACTCTAATTGTTTCATTATCTATAAGAACTTTCGTCTAAATCTGAACGAATAGGTTCATAGTAGTTGGGTACTGAGTTAATGTGTTCGTACGGCCGAGAGTGGGGAGAGTCCGCTCTCTCTCTCTCTCGTAATGCCCTAACATGGCCACGCGTATATAGCCTCTGCCAGCGAAGTCCTACCCACTGCCATCTCGTGGCACTACTGTTGTTTACAAAATTGAGAGGACGAAAAGCGAATGTCCGGCACATTAACCGGGTTGATGGACATGGAGATTTCACCTAGGGGAGTTGGGAAACTGTGATTCCTAACCAATGGTGCACATGGGCACCAGTATCCTGTGGGAACGAATGGCGTATGAACCAATTGTTGGCCACCGGCTTCCATGGGACTGCATCTCCTCACGATGTTCCACTGCCTTGTGGATCAGACGTTCAGGTCGAAGGCTCGGGGAGTGGTCCCCTAAGAAAACCACCTGTTTCGGTTTGGGCACCCGAGCAGTATCACAGCCCTCACACATATCGAATGAGATTTGTGTGGCGCATAAGACATTGAGACAAATTATATTTGTAAATTCTCAGTGATTGAATTTTATGTAAATCTAATATTTCGCTCGGTGATCTGGTTCAAGTATTTTCAAGAAAATATAATCAAACATCAAAATTATCGAATATATCTAGATACATGGTTCTCCGGTTCATTAGATGCTATCATATTAAAAATATTAAAAGTAAGAATTTCCTACAGTGCGTGCATATGAGATATCTGGTGTGTAGAGATATGTTAAGATAATAGTTGTATGTATGTGTGTTTGGATCTGAGGTAAGTTGAAAAAACAATTCTCATTGAATATATATATCGCCTCTGATTCTCAAGACTCTAAAATCTAAACTAAGACCTTCTCTATGGTTTTCTCTATAACCAAAAAGCTGCAGCTCTTTTCGATTTCATGGGCTACCAAAATTCACTAAACGGATGTTCCATTATAAACAGTAGTTGATTATACTAATTCATCTACGTTCAGTCTTATTAAATATCTATCTAATATTCTTAAACCATATGAAATCAAAATCAAATTCGGAATAAAAAATTCTAGTGAATTCAACGACATCATCATCACTGTTCATATGGAAGAAAATGAACTGATGTCAACCTTTTTTATGTTTGCTTTTTGTTCATTAATGTTCCTGTTAAGAAGACTTTAAATATTGTATATAATCTCTTAAGTTCTGAAAATGAACTAAAGTAACAATGCTCATTAAGTCTCTCAGACATGACTAAAACTGTAGATCTATGCTTACGTTCCACCTATTTTTTTAGTTTTCGACGATGTAGTGTCGGTTATTATGTTAAGCCCATATACCTTATTCTATGTTTCGGACAGGCCATTTCATTCACTTTACTTGAGTCACATTCTGACCTTGTTATTTATTCGCTTATCAATCTTAACTGTTTTTATATGAGCGCATAGGTGTGTGTGCATTTCTTATCCCACTACTCATCACATGTCTGTAACTATAAATATTGATTAACGCTTGGTTAAATGGGAGTTGGCAATACCAGCCAGCCACCTCCACTCTGCGTGGTTTCTCTTCTCTCTATTTCATTCGCCTTATATACAAAATATATGTATTCACAAGTCCATTCTTGTTATTCGACATATTTAAATCCATTATTGACTAATCCGATTTAAGTCGATGATTATATACAAGGATGGGCAACATATGTATTTCAACAACAATCATCATTACAATCACCTTGGTGTCAAATCTCGGGCCACTAAAATGGAGAGCCCTTTCGACAACGTCGTTCGATCTAAATGAGGACAAAATTACAGGCCCCACAAGGAGACTTATACAGATAAACAGATGTGGTTATGGGATCACCTGTTTCTCTAATTGTTGAAGAAGTTACACAATCCTTTATGGATATTATTTGTAATGAATAACCCAACGTTAAAACTCTTCTATTATATCCTCATATTAATTCAATGTTCAATGTTTTATTTATATTGTTTCCATTTATTATTATTCTTACTATTATTATTGTTTAGACTATAAAGATGCCAATCAAGATTTAGTCAATGTTGTGTTTTTGTCATCATCCGGAGCTGGTTTTAAGCAATTATGTGTGATATTAGATCAAGTGGACGCATTTATTTTAATGGAAGTAAGTAGTTCTAATCACATTTTCATAATTTACTCTTGTCTTTCATCGTAATGTCGTAAAATAGTCAATTAATTGGTTAGTGATTAGAGACGTAGAATGTGACATTTATGTACATCGATTTAAGTTTCTACATCATATCAACATTGTGAGATGAATTTTTTTCAAGACAAATTCCAAAGTAGTAGAGGGAGTAACAGCGTTAGCGTTTATAAAAAACATTGGGCATAGACAATGTAATTCAACAAGAAAGGGTTGATTTATGAAATAAAATTTGCAAAATATTTTGAAGACCTAAGAGAAGACAAAGACATAATCCATCTGCTCACTTGTAACTGATTATGAACCATATCACTCAACGTCTGGAACCACTGGCTACAATAATCTTCGGGCTCGCACTTACGAATACGTCTCAGTTCGGTAGTTAAGGACTTTGTGTAGCGACAGCACATTCTGTTTTCCCCACCTCTGGTTTCCTTTAAACTAACTTCTATATCACCTGCCATTAAACGTCGAGATAGATGGTGGTTATGCATACATTATACATGTTAGTATTAGATATATACGGCGCTTTAAGGATATGATGTGAATGAACAATTAGCGGGATTGTTTGGACGATTACTTTCAACTGATAAACAGTAATGATAACTGGTTGCTTCGATTTCATTGGTAAAATAGGATATTTAGAACAAAAGCTACGTCTTCAGTTTGTGATGGACGAGTTCACATTAGAGAAAGAAAAATTAGACCAGCGTCTTTTTTTAAGTGTAGAGATAGCATTCATGCTTCTAGCGTCAAATTTCCAATAGACTAGCAATATTTTAGGAATAATAGGAAATCATTCCATACTTCTCCAATTCATGACACACGATGGGTAGTCTATACTGATGCAGATTTTCATAATAAACAATGAATAAGTTTGACAAATCAATCGCTTCATTTATCATGAAAGCTACATCACATTTCATTGTTTGTCTATCAAAAACTCTTGATACAGAGACAAAATACAAGTTTTGTTTTGTATCAGACTACCTTTTTTTTAGTAAAGAATATTTATCAACAATCTATTCCTCTACAAGGTATCAAGTTCTGTTTTACTTGATAACTTACATTTACTGATTTGAAATGGAGAAGAAATATCAATATCATAGAATTTTACTCATTTATATCTTCTTCAAATCCAGAGCATTCAGGAAAAATACAAATATAATTATCATATTTTACAGTTTACATTATAAAATAATTTCAATTGGATAATTATTAAAATAAAGAACTTATTCATGATAAACATCCACAACCCCATACATAGGAGGAAACCTCGTTTTCAGACAAATTTTATGAAGTTTCAATGTGGAGCAGTGAACTATGGCGTCAACTTAGTAGATAGTTCGTTCAATAATTAGCAGTGATGCTTAGTCATTGTCGTATCACATTGCGAATTGATCGAAGTCCAAAACATTGACTTTTTTCTAACATAATTGTGTCGTACTTACAACGGAATTTGTAGATCTTATGATCTGTTCTGTATTGGTTTTAATTCTTTAGTTTAAGTATACCCAGACAGTACCTAAGACCAAGTGAATTTTGTCCATTTTCAGATTCTTACTAACATAATATTGAACAAAGCCATTAATAATAATAATAATAATAATAAGAAGAAGAAGAAGAAGAATTAAAAAAACATGTTCGCTGATAGTTTTCACTTAACAGTCTTTGCTATCAAATCTTTCATATTAATTCCATTTAATGTTCTTACTCAGAGGTAATTTTGATTGTGATCATGAATCGATCAATGTTAGACCACCATTGAAAACCTGGAAGTACTGAACTGCCGTTTCGTCCCAGTACGGGACTCTTCAGCAGTTTGCACCCACGATTCCTCATGTGGAACTCGAACCCAGGACCTTAGGTCTACCACGCGAACGCTTGACCTCTAGATCTTTAGAGGCAATTGGTTTTATCACATCATCTCCGTTAGGTTAAGTGATTACAAACATTAAATTTTCACTCATAGATATAGAAGTTCACTTTAGTTTGAATAGTTAAATAATATCTCCAGATGCATAGGGACCAATCGCTAAATGGCAATGAACGGCTTGTTTGCCTAAATCCTATAATTCTGCTGACCAAGTTACAATATAAACCTCTATCACTTGTACTATATTTTGATATTAGACAACTGAAAACAATTGACAGAAGATTAGATCTATATTTCGTATGAGTCGATATTTTATAGTAATATATCCTCGTAGTTTTCCGATAATTAATATTCCAAAACTTCACTCAGTCAGAGATGTTACTACTTAGCTATTCAGTTTTAAATTGATCTCCTGTATAATTGAGATATTTACAATAAATAATCAAACAATACAAAATAAATCAATCATTGTAAGATTAAAGATATATCTCTTAGTAATAAGTATATACTAGCATAAAATCTCGAATCAAACAAAGATTCAATCATTTTAACATTTCCACTTTTCACATTACAAATATAATATAAGTAAATAGGATGAAACGTGCATCAAACTGGATTCCACTACTAGCCACTATCCATCTTTGCTTGTAAAACTTGTAAATTAAGGCTATATCGAGGCAATAAGCACAGTATATACACATATGCCAATAACAAACTGATCAATTACAGTCTTAAACCTCAATGGGTAAATTCCCTTACATTCTATTAACATTAATTATATATTGACAATGATATTATTAAAACTATTTATTTAACATCTATATTATTCTTTATTATAATTAGCCAAATACATTTATATGGGATACATGTGGACCACATACAATCATGAATTCATTAGGTGGTGGTATTATTCAATTAAAATATGCATTAAATTCTATTAAATTATTATTATTACAAAAACAATTATCAAATAATTACAATATAATCATTCAATTAATAATGAATGATTTACATAAATATCAAATTAATTACAATATTATAAAATCATCAGAAGAGATACAAGTAAATTAGTTTGTTTGTTTGTTTTTTGTTCTTATTATCATTATTATTATTATTATTTTCATTGGTTGAGATCATGAGTCCGTTGAAGTTAGATCATCATAAGAAACCTGGAAGCACTGAACGGCTGTTTCGTTCTATTGTCAGACTCCTCAACAGTACACATTCACAATCTCGCTCCCCTCGAGATTCGAACCCAGGACTTATCCAGTGCTTTCAGGTTCTCCATGGTGGTCTAGCTTCAATTAACTCATGATCTCAACCACTGAAATTACTATAATATCTACAAAAAACCCCTTCTGATATGAATTAACATATGCTCACTAGTGACTGGCTTCAAGAAGTATTTCCTGGAGTTTTAGTGAGAAGTTGTAACCAGTGGAGTTCATTCGGGTCTGTTGTGAGATAGTAACTCACTGATGACAATGGTGGATGTGTTGCTCAATTTTATGGATTAATTGAAGTTAGACATTAGCACTGTCCGTTGGATGCCGGCCGGCGCATTGGTCTAGTGGTTAAGCGTTCGCGCGCAAGACTGATAGGTCCTGTGTTCGTGGCCGGGTCGTGGATGCACACTGCTGAGGAGCCCCACAATACGATGAAACGGCCGTCCAGTGTTTTAAGATTTTCCATGGTAGTCTAGCTTCAATTGACTCATGATCTTAACTATTGAAAAATGTATTATACAAAACCAAAGAATGAAAGTAGATACACTTCTTTTACATAGTTCAAAAATTTGTCAAGATTATAAAGAGGTTCACAGGTTCTAAAATCGTAATGCATACAGTGGAGGAAATCATCCATATGACTCTATAATAGTCGGTCTCTGGAGCCTAGATAAGGTCGCAAAAGCTCTCTCAGCCTCGACCATGTAGCTTCAACATTGTTTGTTTGTACCCCGGCTCTTAGGTTCACAAAAGGTGACTTATGAATAATGACACGATGCACATAACCAAGTCTATAAAGGTATCTGTATGCTCTTTAATCATCCGTATATATTGTAGTACCCGACTGTAGCCAGTGTTACTGGTGCTTCTATTATATAGTTCGCAGCAGTTTTCATAATTTGCCTTAGTCTCAATCTGGATAGAGCAAAAAAATCCTATTCTAGCAAACTTCTTCCTCCAACATATATTACATCGAAAAACAACAACATCATGGTATTCTGCATAAGGTCCACAAGTCATTTGATTACCACATATCACATATGAAAGAACTTCTTATTAGTCCTATTTGTCCTAGTCGCCCAATTGTCATGTTTTCTTTAAACTCCGCTGTAAACCGATCTTACGTGAGCATCAGGTACTGAAATTGGCGTTGTGACTTTGAAATCCCTCAAATGCATCTGATTGGCTTGTCCATAAATTATAGTCTTGCCGTGTTTCAGTTTATTGTAAATTTTATCAAAAAAACAACAAGAAACTATAAACCCTTACTAATAACTTTATATCCATTAAATAAATCAGTGATCATTTAAACTCAAGAGTTAAAGAGATGGATGTTTGAAGTGTTATGACATTGGATTTAGGTATTCATGTGTACATTAATATTGAGATAAAAGTACATCTGACTGACAAATCTAATATAAAACAAAAAGGGATATCTTCGATTCTAGTGCTAATCACATCTTATTTACAAAAATTACCTTACGATTAATATATACTTTAGCAATATAGACAAATAGATGGATACATCCTTATTTGTAATGTTATAAATTCAGTTGGATCATTTTTACAGCATGAAAATGTCATTAAATGATGTTCTGAAAACACATACATCATATCACTTCGTTTTCTCAAGTTCCTTAAAAACATCTATAAGGTGTAGTTCTATTTTGATGGAGTTTTATTCTCCGATCTGGATGGTTCAGTTGTGGAGCTTTCATCGGTCTTCTGAACAACATCATCATCACAAACTTCAAGTAGAAGTAAAGTCACTTCATTTCTACTCGTATCAAGATATAGAACAGTCACTGATGAGTTTTATCAAGTTTTCATTGTATATTTTCATAAAAAAAAACTTCACTTTCAAATATATTAATTGCCTTGATTGTATAAAACAGTTTAATTAATGAATTTCTGAACAAATATCATGTGCTCATAAATGAATAGCTTCGAGAAGGAATTCCCAGAGTTCTGTTGAGAAGCATTAATGAGAATAGGTCATTCATATTCTATGTATAGTTGAAAACCACTTATGATATTGTAAGATAGTTACACAATATCACAAATTCATTGGATCTGACTCAATGCCATGAGACATGAAAGTATTTAGTTCAATCACTGGTGAAGGTGTAGATTCATACAGCTCAGTTATCACTGATTATCAACAGTTGTCTAACGAAGCTCAGTTCGTGATGTAAATCATAATGTCACTATTTTTTTATCGTTCTCTTTCTCTCTCTCTCTCTCTGTCTTGTCGCTACACCCTTTTTTTTCTTCTCTCCTATTTATAGACAGTCAACTCGGTCAATCTTTCCAAATGTTGCAATCGTAATGGCTTATTAGCTTATCGTAATCCATTGATAGCTAGTCAAATTCTTCTTCATATTGTATTAAATCAAAAATAGAAACATTCAACAATAGATTCATACACATACACATAGAGACAGGTAAAGAAGAAAAAGTTTAGTAAGGAACTGTGACACATTTCTTTCTTCGTTTTTTTGTTAAATCACAAATGGATCATTGTCCTTTTTAACCATAGAAACAAGAAGAAAAAAGAAAAAGAAGAAGAAGAATATAAGTAACATATTTCGTTTTTCTCTCATTCCATGTAATAAACAATCATATATCATTAACACAGTGTGATTATGGATTGATTATGGATTATTATGTAATTCATTATTACCTTAGTCACAAAGAGAATAAATTAACCAAGTATTTATGATCAACGTAACTAAATGATGATTAGCGTTGTGTTCTTTTTTTCTAGCGAGTTAGTTTTCTATGAGATAGATTCACTAACCCCTATGTCCAATCCTCCTCTTTTACTTGCGATTGAGATCAGGATCGGCAGTAACTCCAGAAAAGCTATACGTAGAATTATAAATGATGATAACTTATCAATAAATCATGATAGATGTTAAATAGAATGGATACAATTGATCATCATTCAATAAATAATAGATCAATAATTTACAAATATTCAATCAATAATTCTATACACATGAGGTTATTGTATTGATCGTTTATTATGCAGTTTTATTTTGTTCTTTATCATAATGAATTGATCATTATTTTTGTTGTTGTTGTTGTTGTTTGTTTGTTACTTTATTTAATTTTTTGTTCAAATATGTTTAATTTATTCATTGTTATCATGTAATAAACATAATAATGCACCCAATATATGACTATTGGGTTGTTTTTTAGGTTCGAACCCTGTTTTCTGGTTATTATTTTCTAGTTTAAACAATTGAATCACATCATTATTTCTTATTACATAGAATCAATACTCATAGTTGAATGGATAGATTGATACTTAGTAAGTGAATTACATTGGTCCACCAGGGTGCTTGTTACCTGTGTGGTTGCGCCACAGGATTGAGCTGTACTATTCAGATTGTAGCGTTAAAGCCTATACGGTATCTGGTTCTCCTGCTAAACGGGATTGGGTTGTCACGTGAAAGTCCGGATGGTGTCTGGATCTCCTGAAAACCAATGTAAAATTACCCTGGCCCACAAGGGTATATTATATAACTGAAGTGAATTACATAACAGGAATAGTAATAATAATAGTCGTATTGAGCTCATTATTTTATCACATTCCTTTCTTATCTTTATAGTTTTAAAAGGGATAAATGGATCATAATTATGTGTTTGTTTGTGTGATATATTTACAACAACATTTAACTTATTTATTTCTTATTCAATGAACTCGTGAGTTCAACTGTTAAAATACTACTATATTCACAAATCCCCATACTGTTAATAATCATGTGTTCAATAGTAAATAACTTCAAGATGGATTTCTTGGTGTTCTAATGAGAAGTCGTAACCAGTGGAGTCCATTCTGTGTCGAGTAAAGACCGTTATCCACGAAGTGTTGAGCAAGATCATGGATCGATTGAAATTAGACTTTAACACCGTTGAATACTGACTCTGTGATTTAGAGATTAAGTGTTCACGTGAAAGACCAACGGTTCTAGTTGTGAGTTCCACATGTGGGATGATGGATGGGCACTATTGAGGGTCCCCCAAACTGGGACGAACCAGCCATTCAGTACTTCCAGGTTTTCAATGGTGATCTAGTTCATCTTGATTCGTGAATTCAACTGTTATTTGGTTACTTCTTAAAACCAGGAAGTGATACAAACTTATCCCCCAACTAGAATATGATGCTTCAGCAGTCAGTATCTATTATCCCGCTGTGAATTGAACCCAAATATTTTAAATATTATGCTAATTGTAATCCGATAAACGATCATTATGTCGTATTGTGAAATGACAAGAATTTGAAATGTGAACTGCTTAGTTCCATCTCAATAGTATAAAAATAATATGTTAACTGCCCACTGAGTTTAGTTTCTAGAGTCGTTGTGGGAGAGCACTCTCGAGATTTTACATACCAAGAGAAGATCAGGTGTCCATTGCTCTTTGGTTTTCAGTTATATCCTAACTAATATCAGTCTACAAAGAATGCAGCTAATAAATCACACTAACATACACAAACCCTTTAATCAAAATATTCTTCAAATAATATCTCAGTGTATGCATTTAAATTCTCAATAAACAAAATATACACTAAAACATATAGAATTAATATCACATTCAGATTTAATAATATTGAATGTTCAATACAACTGGTAGAGTTAAAGTAAATGCAGAAATCTTTCGAAATTGAATCAACCGATTAAAAAAAATGATTGTTATCATAAAAGTTGTATTAACTTCCATGAGTAATTCCAAACGTTTTTGAGATGATCAAAAGTTTTCTAGGTTAACAGTATAATTATGTAAAATAACTAATCCAATCTTATATACTGATAATACTATCTAGGAAGATAATTAAAGCTTTATGATTGAATCATCCAGCTTAGAACAGTGCTATGTTTGAAGCGATTACGACTTCACCTAGTCTGAGAAAGGAACAAAGACTCTGTGACCAAAAACCAATAAACTAGCTATTCTGATGCGTCCCAGACCTGCTAACTAGAGGAAGAAGTTCAAGCTTGGAACGAGAAAGTATATTCCGTAAGCTAGAAGCACGAGCAATAATAACGGGCACAAGTCAAACTTATATATATAGCATAAAATTGTCCTTGGGAAGCATTACAAATTAGCATACTAAAAGATACAACGAACCAATAGCATTTAAGATTCTCCCAAGTGAAAGATACAACATGAAGGTGAAAATGAGCGCTTTTGGCGGGAAAACAAGAAAATTCAAAATTTTAAGATAAGATTACAATATAAGGTATTTACCAAGCGAGTTCTGGGGATTTAACATCCCCAACAAACACAATACAACACTTACAAAAGTTTAAACTCTTCACTTGATTTTATTATAACGAATATGACAGTGGTGACAATATGTTTTTTATCCAACTGTATCTGTAGTAGTATATCTATACATAACTCCACCTGTAGCTCTTCTAGAATTAATGCCGATCCTAAGCCCATGTCAAGGAGTATGGTTGAGCATGAAATTAGCGACTTCATCTTGTAGAAAGCTAACTCACTAAAAAAAACGCTAACCAGAAAAAAAATAATTCAAATCATCTAAACTCTACCCTGCCAGTTAGAACGTCTTCATTTAAAAGAGTTATGACGCCTCATGATGAAAGCCCAATTCCTTCGGAAGTCACTAGGCTGATGCCTCTTCTCACAATCAGAGAAACAACTTTTTTTTATATATCTATACATAATGTAATATATTATGATTATTTTGGTAAATTTTTATTCTTAATTATCTAAACTGTTTCAATAACAGAAGATTTAATGATTTACAAAAGGTTTTTACTTGTTGTTGTTGTTATTATTATTATTATTTGTAGTAGATATACTCTCATTGAGGTCAAAACGTGGGTGTATAATTAGTCCTAGGTCACTGATATATAACAATAATAGATTGAAGCTTTCAGTTGAATGTAATCAATCAATAAATGAATGTTTATCAATAGATGATATATTTTGAAGGGAAAAATAAGGATATATTCACTTCTATTGAAGATATAATAAGTCATAATCATAGCAGGAGTATTACTGAATAGAGTGAAACGAATATTTTGAATCCTACTACAAGCCATAATCTAAATATATTAAAACTTCGTAACTGAAGATAATATTGTATCGGTAAATAAATCCCCGAAATAAATAGCTCTGTAAGTCTTCGACATTGGATGCTGACCACATTAGTTTTAATGGATTCACCTAGCTGAAGGTGCTCGATCATGCATCCACACCAAATCACAAGTGGGAACGTCGTGCTCAACATCTACTGCAATCGCTAGCCAGATGAGATCAGACGATCCTCGATATATTGATAGCCTATCAAATATATCTTCGAACCTCCTCGCTTCTGTCTTTTGATTTCACTTAGTGGGTACGATTCATATTAGAAGGTGTTACTGGTTAAAGCGTTGTCAAACTCCTTATATCCGTGACATCTTCAGTATCAAGGCAATTACTCAGGATTTAACGGAAGAATCTAAACCGTTGAATGTCACCATTATAAATCAATAGTCTTAGCCGCTTATACTGTTAAGTTTATTTAGAACATTAATTCGGTTATATTTTCGTCGTTTTTGAAGCAAATTTATTATGGTTGAAAACGTCATTAATTAATTTGTATGTATTTTTAAACTACTATACTTTCAACAAGAATGATACCATTTTAATGATTATACATTATCATTAAATGAACTTTGGTATTCATTCATTACATCATAATTTTAGAAAATAGTCTTATAGAACAATCATTGATTTGTTCATACACTTAAGTGTTGAAAATTACTGACTTACGCCTGTTACTCCTAATGGTGCATAGAAAGTCAACCAGCATTCTCCAACCCACTCTCTCCTAGGCCTTCCTTTCTAGTTCTATCCAATTCTTATTCATTTTTTCTCATGTCTATCTCCATTTCCCGGCGTAATGTGTTCTTTGGTCTTCCACTTCTACTCCTTTGGCCATGAGGATTCCAAGTGAGGGATCGACTTGTGACGCAGCTGGATGCTTTCTTCAATGTGTGTTCTATCCACTACCAGCGCTTCTTCCTGATTTCTTCCTCCACTGGGATCTGGTTTGTTCTCTCCCACAGTACATTGTTGCTAATAGTGTCCGGCCAATGGTGTCATTATATGCCTCTTTATTTTTATTGCATCTCCATTTAGATCTGACTTTTTGGTCATGTATTTGTTCATAATTCACCTGAGCTACAAATCTTCTTTACTCTCCACATGAAATATCTATCCTTCAGTCTGTTATTTTCCCTCCTGTACGAATAAATAATTCATCATTATTAATAATGCCAAGGCTGGACATGACAGTTACCAATAAATTGAGCATTAGGTACAGATTTAATAACAAATATATTTCTTGTTATATTCCATTGAGTACAAAAGTTGTGTTTCTGACGTTTTGTAACTTAATGTAAGTCACTTGTGCAAAGTAAATAAACGATCGAGAATAAATAAAGTCAAATATAGTTTTTGATTGAGATCATGAACCGATTGATGTTAGACCACCATTGAAAACCTGTAAGCACTGGACGGCCGCTTCGTGCTATTGTGAGACTCCTCAGCATTACGCATCTACGATCTCGCTCACGGGATTCGAACCCAGGACCTTGAGTCTCGCAAATGAACGCTTAACCTACTGGACCACTGAGCCGGCATCCAATGGTGTTATTGTCTAACCTCAGCCAATACGTGTCGGGTAGAAACAGGTGTCTACCTCAGTACAATGGAAGATGGTCGCGCAATTTCGTGGATTGGTTGAGATTAGACATTAACACCATTGGATGGCGGCCCAGTGGTCCAGTAGGTTAAGCGTTCATTTGCGAGACTCAAGGTCCTGGGTTCGAATCCCGTGAGCGAGATCGTAGATGCGTAATGCTGAGGAGTCTCACAATAGCACGAAGCGGCCGTCCAGTGCTTACAGGTTTTCAATGGTGGTCTAACATCAATCGGTTCATGATCTCAATCAAAAACTGAACAATCTCCAGAACCCCTATACTGTCAAATATAGTTGTTGGGATCAAAATCTACAGACACACACACACATCAAATTTCAACCCCACTACTTCGTATACGA